TGGTGGTGGTAGCATCATGCTGTGTGGCAATATCACTCCCAGTGGTGCTTTAGAATTCCATTAAGTGTAAAAGTCTGTGACTTGAAATAATCTAAATTAAATTAATTCTATAAAGCTGATTCTAATATTCACTCAAAATGACATCAGAAGTTTTATTATGGCTTCAGGAAGCCGAACCTGTGTGACGAACAAGTACCTTGCTACTGGACATAAATCTAAATATTATACTGGAGTTATCTAAATATTTGAGCCTTAAGGAGTAATTTTTGTCCATGTAGAAATCAGAGTAAATCTACTTTTTACCTCCATTTGTCCACCCAGATTTGACTTCAACGTAAACCTGAGTGTATCTATATACACCAACTCTAGCTTGATGTCACACATTTCTAAACTGTCTTTATAACATAAACAAACTAAAGCAAAACAATCTGAACTGCATGTTTAGAAGCATTCGTTTGAGGAATTGTGTGAAAAGCCTCTTTGCCTAAATTGCTGGCGTGTGAAATTTAACCAACAGCAGCATTTGTAATGGCTCCCTAATTTATTATCTTCCGACAGATATAACAGATTTTTTTTTACCCAAAGCTGTTGTTCCATAAACTGGTGCAAACTCTATTAAACATGGCATAGTGACTAAATAAAAAGCCCAGACAACTATACCTATTTATTTTTATTTCTCAAAAAGTAGCCTTTTCCCCCAGCAGGTGGAAGACGATTACACAAAATAACTATTACTGCAGAAAATCATAGGTTTTAAGAGTTGTTGTTCCTATTAAGACCCAAATGACATGAAGAGAGTTGAATAATAAATCATTTCAATAACAATATTTAAGTCTTTAATTTCTAATTTTATGATACCAGGGATATAAATTATCAATCGGGGCCATTTTAGAGGGAATAAATACTCTCAAGGTTTAAGTTGCAATCTTAAAAGAACCCTTTTAGAATGTCTTTATTCCTGAAAAGAGTTTCTGCAGTTCACCTGAGATTGTTGTCACCTTAAATTAATATATTTGCAAGCAAGAACAATTCAGTTAAATTTAAAGTAGACGAAGAGAAGCAAACATTTAAAAATAATAATTATCGAGCAAAATACTAAATATTTCTTTGCAGACAACCTATAAGTCTGTTTAAAAGCTTTCTGCGATCCAACCTGGAAGCTTCTTCGCCCAGGCGATCATGTGGACCAGCTCCTTGTCAGCCATGCTGGTGAGCAGGGTCATCATGGTGGCCTCAGTATAGGGTCGGCTCAGTTTTTGACGGGAGCACAGCATTGGAGGCTCAGCACCCTGAAGCAGGAGCAGAACCTGGAAACACAAAGGGTAAAAATACAATAGATGTACCATGCAACCAGCACGATATCAGGTAGATTTCTCTTATAGAATATCTGTCTAGAATCTTGTCAATATCTTGTCATCCTTTCAAAGATAATGAGCACCTGTTCAGATGGCAGGCTGGAAACTGAAGATCTTCCTCCTCCAAGGGCAGTGCTGCGTCTCCTCTTATCATGATGGGGTGCAGCTCTGTTCTCCGGGCCTTTAACAGTCTTTTCTCTGTCACTGATGCCCGGCCGTCTTTTGTCACGCCTAAGAACACGACCGCGGTCTTTACGAACACCTTTAAAACGAGCAGACTCAATCAATAAAAAAAAACAGATAAACAACCAGACAGGTTTCTGCATATTAATCAGAAGACTTCAGGTTCTAACTACACTTAATTTGTAGATTAAGCAGATGGACGTGAAGACCAAAAAACGTGGGTGTGCATTGGTAAACAGTTGTACCTGTTCAAAAGAGATCTAAATATGGATAAAAATGATAGTTAAGGAAAAACATCTAGCTAACGATCCAAGTTGTAAAAAACTATATTAAAGTTACAAGAACTAATAAATGAAAAATAGGAATAAACTCACCCCCTTTCATCATGCCAACTTCGTAGCACTTCCTAAGACGGCAAGCCTGGCAGCTCTTCCTCCTATTCCTGTCAATAGTACACTGATTGGTCGCCGGGCACATATAGTCATTGTGACCTGAAATGGAAAAAAATCTATTATTCTTAGACTATAAGTCTAATTTTCTATCTGGAATTGAGCTATTTAGCAGCCAGGAACACTCCATTCCCTTCACCAAATGAACCTAGGATGGAGAAAATTAAAAAATGCCATCTTGGCTATTCCAATGCCATGGAGACTATTGGTTTCTTTTTGACCAGTCCTTCCTTGTAAGATTTTCCATCAATACGCTTCAGTTTCAACTCCTGAACTAAGCCACCAAGCAGATGAAAGTTCTCTGTGCACATGGAGCCATCGATCGTCTAAGGCTGGAAAAATGTGGTCAATAGCTCATTAAGAAATGTGTTTGTTTCACTTCCGAGCAATTCACCACATTTTTTACAACAGTGGGAAAATAAATCTGCTACACTTAGTGAAGACTTCTTAGCCTCAGATGTAACTCCCTCTTAATCCATGAAGTGACACTGATTAAACTTTGTTAATATTGTTTTTGGCTCAAGCTTGCAGGTAATTTACTTGGTATAATAGACCCACTGCAGTAGAAAATAAAACTTAACCTTATTTAAAAACCCTCATCAACCTGGTTTGTTATAGAAATGATGCTGAACTGTTCTTGTGAAGTTTAGTGGGTTTAATTAAATTTTTAAGTTGATAACACAAATAACATGGTGCAGTGTTTCTACTGGTTTTGCCTCCCTTGGCGGCAGCTGTTGCCATGAAGCGCCTGAATTATTTTTCTTTGCCCAAGATCATTTAGGGTTATTCTTTAGTGCAAGTTGTTTGTTTCAAATGCGTGAGTTTTCCAGCATGATTGGCATTTTGGTGTAACCACAGGATCTCAACAGGGTTTAATTACAGACATCAGCTAAGCCAACACAAAACATTGGTGTGGTCTGACTAACCCAAGTATCCACGATCCTAAGGTGACAGGTTAATTGTTAGTTAAAAAATCTGATTTCTTCTTTGGGGTTTTCATCAATTAGACGCAGCCCCAGACCATCACACTGCCACCTAAAAGTTTTACTTTCACTATTGTTTAGTCTAAACCGGATTTAACAGGAAAAGATTTTCTAAAATGTTCCCCTTTTGTCTCAGAAGAATATTTTTGGCAACAATCAGTGTGACGATGAACAGTGGTTCACACCTTAGACATTCTCCAATGAATGCAGACCCTGCCCAGTCTGATGAATAATGACTAACAGAAATGACTAAGGCCAGCAGTGCTTCAGGTGTTTTTTGCTGGATGAGTCACTGATGCGGTCGTGGAGAAATTCTGGTAGCCTTCCACGGCAGAGAAGCTTAACCCCTGTTAAATGTTTTCTCCTTATGTGGATAATGGTTCTAAGTGTGGTTCACTGGGGTTCAAAAGCCTTAGAAGTGGCTTTGACTCTTATTTAATTTTTTTATATGTTTAGATCAGAGCATTAAACGCTGCTTCTTGGGATATTTTAGCCGGTTTTCAAACTGGTTATATTTAGGGGATTTATTTAATCCACTGGTCTGGCAAGAATCAAGTCCAGAGAAATTACACCAATTAATAATTTTAAAATACTGCTTTTCTTATTAACTCTAGTCACCTTTATCATATATATGACATGTGTTGTGAATTGGCGCTATATAAATAAACTGAATTTAATTGAATATCAATTTGTTTGAGAATTTATAGGTTCAAATAAATTTTAAGTACCAAAGGCATAGGTTTTAATCTGATTACAGTCTTCAACTATATTTCATGTTGGAAATTTTCTCTATATATGCCAATATGATAAAAACAATAAATAAAAGTTTCTCCGGCTTACAGGAAGAGGCATTTATCGGAGACAAATAACAGTGGCGTGTCTTTTATGACAAGAATATTTATGATGTTTATAATTATGCTCTGATGTGTTCTTTCATGCCTTTGTTCTCCATGACAGAAGCAATAAAACTTGATTTAAACTTTATAACCTCATACCCAACCGTCGCCTTACCCTGAATGCTTCTCTTGAAGAAGGCCTTGCAACCCTCACAAGACCACACCCCATAGTGGTACCCGGAGGCATAGTCGCTACAAACAGCGCAGAATCGTGTCTCCTTGGCCATCTCAAACCCTCCGGCTCCTGCTCTGAGCTCCCCCACACTGCATGCATCGTCACGGGTGTCACACTGGTCCTCTCTGGAGGCTGGCTGGTGACTGGATCTGCAACAGGCCGTGAATTTTAATTGGTTGATTTGCTGCTCTCATCAAGACAAGTTGCATGGCTTCCAAAAACTAGATAAAGAACAGTACTTCAGCACCATAAAACCAAGGAAGGAATATATTAAACATATAAAGCATGTAAGATACAACTATTGTTTTAAGAATTAAAGCCTAAAAATCAATATAAGATTGAATTGAACTCTGCCTTGAATAATGACTGAGGATAAGACCAGGCTTCTGTTTTCCACTTAAATCAGGAAATGCTCCATTTGTGCGCTTCTGTTGTTCTTACGTATTGTTCCTCTCTCAAGGCCCTTCACAAAGTCCCTAATCTCTGGAATTAGAAACCCCGGACAAAGCGTGATCCTCTCTATGGAGATAGTGGCGCTGTTTTGTGGAAGGCAGGAGATTAAAAAGCTGTGTGGTTAAATAATCATGTTTGTTTACATGGCGTGTTGGAGAAGACTCAACTAAAAAATGCCAATGTCATTATTCATAAGTTGCAAATACTTTGTTTCATTTCTCTGTAATGACTTGATCGAAACCAGGACCAAACAAGTTAGGATAACCATAATCATTAATTATTTTGCAACTTTTAAACTAAAGAAAATGGAGGGAAATTAAAAAAACAGTTTATTTTTTAAATGAGAAATTTAAGAATCCTTAATATGAGAGTATAGAGAGCCCTGGTTGCGTCGCCTGCTTCTGATGAGTTGTAATTTCTCAAAATTTGTGCTTTTGATACAAAAGCGTTGGTTACAAAAATGACATACTGACTTCTTTATTGCTCTGATTTAGTAGCACACATATAAATTGTAATTTTCATACCTGTAAACTGGTGTTGAGGCTGTTTCCAGATAGTGGTGGTTCGGAGCATGCATAAAAGGGCTGAGCCTCGGGCTGGTGGGCACAAACACAAGAGGACTGGTCGGCCCACTCCCCAGAGAATGAAGGCTGCCATCAGACGGTGGTCCCTGGGCGTCCAGAGGAGCAGAGTAGTAGCCAGTGCTTGAGTGGCTGTAAAGAGGCGTTGGGGCAGGGGTGGGGGTGGCATAGTCGTACGTCCCTTCCAGGAAGTCCACAGCAGCTACCCCTCCGGAGCCCCGGCTCTCTTCAGGGTACATGTCACTGAGGGAGGCGCGGGGTGAGGGTGGGAGACGTGGCGGGGAGAGGGTCTCCAGCTCTGAGGAGGCTGGGCTTATCCTGGGTCTGAGTGCTGGTCCGAACTCCTGCTTGCTCTGCACCTGGCTCTGCCTAAGCAACATCACAGCACAGCAGCAGTGATAAGCAACATGATTTAGACTTGCTCTCCCATTTGCTGGGTGGGAGAGTGTGGTGCTGCTCTCCCTCCCTCTTCACCCACTTTTCTTCTGGGTCTTGCCTTTTCCAAGAACTCCTGTCAAACAACTTGGGTGGACAACTATCTGCTTATCCTCTGGCTGCTTGGAGCGTCTGCTCACAAGAGACCAAAAAAAATAAAAAATACAGCTAGAGACTCCTAAAGACTCCTCCCAATCTGACATTATTTTTCACAGTATTTTTTCTTCCTCTAATATATCTCTGCTAAAGTGTGGGAGTAAGGGAAAGCAAGTGGGAGAGAGGAAAAGAAGGATTGACAGAAATAGTGATTCCCAAACAACTTCCTTGTCTGCTCTCCTCCACATAACTATTTCTAATTCACCTTTGTCTTACATCGAAAAGCTTTTTAATGTAAGACAACTGGATTCCAGACTGAAGGCAACTCTGAGGCAGCATAGTGTGTGTGTCTGAATATTCACCCCTCATTTAGCTGATATCGCGCACACTGCGAGTATCACCAGTCTATTTGCAGCCAATTTATAACCCAGCTAACACTCTGCTGTTGGCTAAATCCGAACAAATGAGATACAAGTAGACAGAGCATTCGAAACAACATGGGTTAACGGAAAAATCAAAAACTAGTATGAGATACAACTCACCTCTTATACATGAATCATCCCCGCATATGCTGCACAACAGCGGCTAATTCCCCCTCTCTTCCTCTCTGCCTGCCTCACAGGCATTTAGGTGGGCTCACTCAGAGGGAACAGTGGAAAGGTTTAAAAAAGGATAAACAAATTAAAGATGCAGCCAAATCAATAACTGCAGTGTGTTTAAGAGCCAGGTCACCATAACACAGCAAACAGAACTGGAGGTCAAATCTCATTCTGACATCCAATAATTGCACAATCAATCCCATATAAGGGTATTTTTATAATATAGATGCAAGAATCTGGGCTAAACGAAAATATAAAGACTTAAAAAAAGAAATCCTTCTAGATTTAGGTACTATTAAGTAGAGGTAATTAATTGCTTTAAAAGGACGTAGTATTTATATTAATATCTACTTAATCATGTACAGAGATTAATATACATTGTATTAAAACTTTTTATCCACCTGTGTGACATTCATTTCTGATTTTAGACCAGTTACGAAAATAGAAATATAGGGAATTTATATTTAAGTATTTGCTAAAAGCCAGAAAAAAACCAGAAACATTTTTATTTTTTATTTTTTTCAAATTCAAGAGTTTACATTTACTTTGATGGTAGGATTACAATTTTTATTTGCATGACTTGAGCCAACATCATTGTAATTCAATCAGCTTCTAACATAGGTTTGCCAGGATTTTGGCCGATTCCTCACAACAGAACTGGTAAAACAGGGCCAGGATTTTAAGCCACTTTCTTATCCCATTACTTTTTAGCCTTTTCGTATACATTTTCTTTTGCATTTATAGTACCTACCCAAAATGATTGCCCTTTTATAAAATCCTGTAGTAATCTGTAATCAATCAGGAGGTGTTCTTGGGTTTATTACTCATTTGGAAGACTGGTTGTTTCCTGGTTTTAACTTTCTGGCTGATTTCCTGCCTCACTCTGTCATTATATTATTATTTCTATCAGGATGCCATTTATTTCATGAATAAACTTATCAGGAGTCTAATACAATGTGTATTTTATGGTCCCATTATAATCTCAAGGTTTTTGATCACAGAGGTTCAAGCCAGTGTGTCCTGGTAAATATACCAGCTAAATAAGATTACAAAAAATAAAAACACAGAAAAAAAATGGGCCAAGATACCTTTGAGCCATTTCCCTCTTAACAGGTTTTAACAAGAATACAAGGTTTGACACACAATCTATCAAATATGGGTTGTTGAAGTAAACAAAAGCGAAACGAGTACTTAATTCTTGTTAACAAATCCATGAGCAAATATTGACCCGATTGACAAAAAAAAAAAAAGGTTTGAGACAAACCTCGCATCTTTTTTTTTTCTGCAACATGTTTTTTTACTAAGCCTTCAGATTTTCATGACAGGTCGAGTGGAAAATAAGCAGCCCCGATTATACATATTTTTGTGCATTTGCCCTTGAATAAAATTAAGACACCAGGAAACATAAAGTGTGGGTTGAGAAATAAAACAGCTGCTGTAAATGACCTAAATTACCCAAGGATAAGTCACTTACTGCAGTAATGGAACCAATTTTCACGCATCACATTTATTTTTCTAAAGAACATCCTGGGTTCTAATGCACATTTCAGAAACATTTTCCAACGGTTTTGTCAAGTGGTTTCCAACCTGACCTCCGCTATACAAAAGGTCAACAGGTGAACAACAAGCTGATGTCACACATAACATCTAATGTGCACTAATATAGACAGTGGTTTAAAAAGAAAACTTCCTTATACATTTATATATTTTGCATATATGTATATATATATATACTGCTAAAAAAAATAAAGGGAACACTTAATGTACACATAATGTCAATTAAATCAAACATCAGTGAAATCTGTCCACTTAGGAAGCAACACTGATTGACAATCAGTTTCTCACTATTGTGCAAATAGACAAAAGGTGGAAATGACTGGTAATTAGCAGAACACACTCAATAAAGGATTGGTTCTGCAGACCACTTCTTAGTAGCTATGCTTTCTGCCTGATGTTTGGTCACTTTTGAAGGTTGATATTCCTTTCACGCCCATGGTAGCATGGGATGGACTCTCCAACTCATACAAGTGGCTAAAGCAGTGCAGCTCAACCAGGATAGAGCATCAATGTGAGCTGTGGCAAAAGTTTTGCAGGGTCTGTCAGCACAATGTCCACAGGCTGGAGGCACCACCAGGAGACAGGCCAGGCCCAATGTGGAAAATCTGAAATGCTTCTTTCTATAATCATGATTAAACATATCTTCCTAGAAGCTACATTCAATTTCCTCCACTCCTCAGTTAGGGATATGCAGTTATATCGTCAGGTTTTTTTTTAATTATAAACTCTGCCATCATAACAGCAAATATTGAGGTCAAGGTCTTTACTTTTTTTTAATCTGTTGATCCATGGCAGCAACAATATTAATTATATATATATATATAATTTAAGGCAATTTTGTTTAAATTTGTGTCTCAACATGGTTAACCAACCTAGCCTGGTCATTAATATTTAAATATTAATGACCATATTTAGAGTTAGTATTTGCTTTTGCTTTGTTTTTATGCAATGATATACAGTCCATCAATAATTGACAGGAAAAAAAAAACAAGTCTTTTTTTAGTGCTTAACACCTTTTTAAAATCACGATAAGGACCTAAAGAACATGGGGACAAAAATTGAGTTTATATCACTCATCTCCAACATTCATACCTCTAGAATGTAGTAATAATTTTAGACAGAACCTGTCTGACAAAATGGTCTAAAAGATCAAGAAGAAACAAAAAAAAATAAAAAATGTGAGCACATTTTATTTGAAGCCATCAATAAGTCTTGAAATGTAAAGACATTTCAAAAACATTGGCAATCCAGAGAAAAGTAGTGAGAGCTGTTATCCAAGAAAACGTGAAAACGTGAACTTACCAAAGTTACTCCAAGAGCACATTAATAAATCATTCAGGGGGTCACGAGACAACCCGGAGCAACATCAAGGCAGCCGGGCTCACCTCTGTGTTTTTCTAACTTATCAAAAGAACAACACTGTGCAAATAGAATCCTCAGCAGAGTTTAAAGGTGAAAACCACTGCTGAATTAAAGAAAAATAAACCCCATCAATATTGGCCCCTTCCCGATCCAAAGTGCACCTGATCCTTAGGACTATTTAGTGGGCTGAAAAGGTGTGGGTTCTGTACAAGCTACTGGAAAATTGAATGCTTTTCCAAAAAGATTGTTGAGTATTGCAGTTTGGTTGTCTGGGTTTCGATTTAAGTCAAACTGGATTTTTCATTGTCCTGACAAAACCATGAATTCTGCTCTCAATAAATACTAGACTTATGGGGAATGCCTTCAAGCTAATTTAATCAACCACTGAATGGCTTCGGAGAGCAATAAAAGTCTGAAGTTCAATCCAAAATAACTTCGTCTCAAGCATTGGCCAAAATACCTGCTATAAAAGCATTATGAACAGTTACTGGAAATTTTAAAATATTGGTAGTAATTAATCTTAGTACCCCTTTTAATGCATTTTAAATATTGTTTTTATTTTTGCGGCACTACCGTCTTTTCTTTCTTTCCGATGTTAAAAACCTGGGATGGACGTGTCAGGTCCTACACATGATACTAAACATTTAAACCTAAGACCCCTTTTCTTTGCATCCAAATAAAAATTTTGTTGCCTAGTAAAATTCTGTCAATATTTGACCATCTGTTAAAAAGTTTCCATCAACTCAAAGTTTAAAAAATGTTCTCCTCAAAAAATATAGGTAAATATTCAATGCAAAAATTGATTCTGAACCCAAAATAAATAACAACCAGGCTTTGCATCAAAAATCACTCATTTTTATTTGGATTTGTTATTATTATTATTTTTTTTTTTTTTCAAAACAAAAGATGCACATTCCGCTCTTATATCATACATACACCCATTGCTTTCATGATTTATTCAGCAGAGAAAATACATAACAAAGTGCTAAATAAGTTAATCAATTTTCTTGTTTTGATGCATGAACACTGATGCTAACATTGATCATTTGTGGGAGGAATTAAAAAGAAGAAAGCACAAACACTATGTTGATAAATCCACCATCATTCCGATCTGCATGCAAAATATTCCTGTTTTTTGTTAAACTGATTAAGCGCTAAATTCCTTTTACCAAGACTATCTGCGTAAACATTTCAAATCAAGTGTAGGCATCCAAGACATGGGCATTTTTAACCGAAATGCCTGAATTCTATTTAGAAAAAATTCTATTTAGAAAAAACAATTTCTACCTAAAAATGAAGACATTTTAAACATGAGATGGCAGTGATATAAATGATCCAGACTTTTAATACTGTTCAATTTAAGTAAGACTGGTAAAGTATTTAAGAACCATTTATAATTTTGTTTGGTTATGGCTTAATGGAAGCACCTAATGATGATGCTTTTTACAGTAAAAACCCAAGTCCACTCATCCAAGTCTAATCCTAAGGAGTCTAATCTTGAGGTCGGTTCTTCTCCAACTTCGGGCTTTGGAACTGAATAACTGCATACTTCCCATTGGTCATCCACGATGGGTCTTGAGAGGTCAGCTTCTCTCCTTGTCCCGGCTGCAGCCCGACCTGTACGTTGGCCTTCAGGGTTCTCAGGCTACAAAGTGCTGAAGGCTCAAAACCTCTCAGTGCAGTAGAGAAATCCACAGTATGGGGCCAGTCCCTGTCACCAGTCAGCTTCCTGTAGTTTAGATCCCCTTTAAATAGCACCAGGTCTGCTTCCTGCAGGGTTGCGTACAGGTCAGGGGCATCAGCAGCCATGTCGCAGAACTCATGGGGCTGTGTCCAGAAAGGATGGTCGTGATAGCACCACAGACCCTCTTTGAGGTAGCTCTGCCACTGGAAGCCACTCTTACACATCCACTTGTGATTGGCTGCCATGGTCTGTCGGATGGTCCACTGAAAGTCATTAGCTGTGACATCAGAGACGAACCACGGGAAGCATTTACCATGAAAATGAACTTGACGTGCGAGGCCTGATGACACCAGGAAATCCGCAAGGACCAAGTCAGTGATTAGCTCAAAGCCAGCATTGTCTAACACAATGTCAACTCTGTCTGCTGTTTTTTTGCCGGATCCTTCAGACCTTCTACAGGAATTAAGAGTCAACCATACCATGTTGGAGTCGTCCACCAAGATAAAAGACTGTAAGCTGTTGAGGGAATCTATGGGACTGGCCTTCTGGGAATTCTTTTGACCAGCAGAGATGGAAAGATCACATCTATTCCCCCAGAGGGAAACCTGCAAGAAAATTCAAAAATGGAAAAATTAAAAACAAGAACGTTTTACGTTTGCTTTTATAAAGAATTCAGACATCCACCTAGGCGACATAAAACATATGGATAACATCTGCATGGCAGAGTAACACCTAGTCTAACAATCAAATATTAACACTACTCCCTTTTTTAAAATGATTTACAAGGTAAATATTTATTTAATCAAAATAAAGAAAAAAATGTTTTGATGAGAAACAAGTAAGAAAAAAAGCAGGGTGAGCAATAAATGTTCTTTATGATCATGTTTTTTCTAGAATATTTATAAATCACAAGATGAATATGCATGTATACATATTTTGCTGTGCTTTGCACAAATACCAGTCGTCATTACTCATTGGCGGTTGAATGAGTTTAGACATCAAGATGTGAAAATGCATCAATATATTGAATCTTTCCATTAGATACCACTTGAATAAAGCTCTTCTTCCTTGGCAGTGGGCAACCGTGAGAAGCGCGTGTGAAATATTAGTCATTAGTGGGGTTGTTGTCACAGTATTTGAGACTCGATATCAACACCCAGGGAAATATTTGATACTATAAACCATTTTCATTTCAGTGGGGATAAACACATAACTAATAATAAATAGCATATATACCGTGTATATATATATATATATATATATATATATTTTTTTTTTTTTTTTTTTTTTATGAAAAAAAAACATCTATCATCTTAACATGGAACATGATTTCTCATTATTTTACCTTAATATAGAACATGATTTTGGAGTAGAATCAAAAGTTCTACTGAATAAATGTACAAATACTTACAAAATAAATATAAGAAGTTTAGAAAATATTTTAAAGGTAATAGTTAAAAGTTTAACTCCTCCAAGCCAGTAAGTAGTGCTCTCATGCTTGCCCAGTCTCGCTCTAACCCCCAGTTGTACCAGCTTGTTGCCAGGTCTACCATTTTTTACATTTAACCGGTCCGTGAAAGTGGCAACCCTTCGCATGGCTTCTGAGCCCCTTTGCGTCAATCAGTTGGCATCCTTGCTAAAAAGTGTAACTGGTGTTCACCCTTGCTTTGCTTGTTTTTTGTTTTGTTCTTTTTTTAGCTTAAAGCTGAGAAATGTAAAGCAGAAAATAAGCCAGTTCTCATCTTTAAAGCCCAACTGGCAATGCCTGAGCTCAATCTCACTTTGAACACCAATTCCTCTTGGTGCAAAAAATCCTTTCATTTCAATGTTGGCATGGTAACCATAGGTAAATATTTATATATTTTGGAACCATTAAAAATTTTTTTTATTAAAATGAACACCTTTATTCTACACCACTCTAGATTTTTTGTGAATGTGTTGATGCATTTTTTCAATTTTTATAGGACAATTCCTAAAAGCTATGACCATTAAGGTGATTTCAGGTATTGTTTTTATGTGCAAACAATCCAGAAATCTAAAATAAAAAATTGCAAAAATATGCAAACACTTTTTTTTTTAGCATCGATGCCATGCCAAAGTAGTATTGTATCCCGATATATCTTTGGAATACTTATATTTTTCCACGTATCAATTTTGGCCTAGGTATTACAGTTAAAAATACGAGCACAAGTTAACCAGAAGAATCTTCATCAGCTAGATAGTTTTAAGAATTTAATGTACTGACCTGAAGTAGCTTGTTGAAACATTCAGACAGTTGGTTCTCTGACAGCGTCTCCATGCTCTTCTGGATGTCTCCCAGATAAGTACATAAAGCCATCACAGCCTGCTGAGACTCAAAAAAGCTTTCGGTCTTCCCCTCATTAAAGAAGTCAAAGTTGTTAATCGGAGGACTGAAATAAACAAGAAAACCAAAGTATAATTAATCCTAAATGGAAACAACAAATTAGTTAAACATGCAATATTGCACTAAATCAAAAGAAGCCTTTTTAATAATAACACATAAATCAAATGTTCAAAAATGCATTTGATTTAATTTGCCCTTAATTTTATTTTTCTTTACTATAAAAGCTAACCTTTCTGTGACTCCTGTTTCTCTTGTTCGGATCTTATAGCCTCTAGACTTGTAATCGTCTATGGTTTAAGTGATATATGAACCTGTATGCTTTCGTTGCCTTTTCATTTGCTGCTGACTGACCCAAATTTCCCTATTAATGAAACAATACATGACATCTCATTGTATTCTATTCTGTATTAAATACACAACATTTTTTTATACATACCTTCATGTACATCTATATCAGTTCATCTGTATATTACTCTCATATTTATAATAAGACTTTACAATGAATCAAGCATCTTCTAAACTATAGTAGTCATTTGGTTTCATTAAGTGTTATTTAGTGTCTACACATGAATAAATACTTTATTCAAAAATATTTAACTGATGCTCCGGGAGTTGGATTTTAATGCGTTTTTTTCAAAGCCGCATTTTTAAGTTTACTTTTTCATTGCATGTTGCCATGTTTTGATGTTTTTTTCAGCATGTCAGCTCTTTTTTATATGAAGTCATGCACCTAGGTTTAACACTTTACAAATGATTGAATACATTTTTTGATGAAGCCAAAAAAACACTGTGTAATTCAGTGGGAAAATGTTAACTATAACAGCTTACAACTGGAGTTTTACCCAATTTTATTTAATTGTTTATATATATTTATCTTGATTTACTACCAAGTCCTGTTTGTGCCTGTTGAGTTAAACCATATTTCATGAAAACACAAATTATCTTTTTATTCCATGACAAATTTAGCTTGAGGAAATAACTCTGATTCATTATCAAATTATACTGAGGCATTGACGTGGTCTCTTTTGTGCTAAATCTGGCTACTTTGCAGCAGCAACAGTGTTACTTTTTCATGGTAAATGATTGGATCATTTCAATATGCTGTAATTAGGATTTTAAGTTCCACTAGTTAGAAATGTGGACAAGCCTTATTCCCTCCCACTTCTATAGTAAATCTTGTTATCTGCCTTCATATATTTGGTTATCTTGACGCTAGAAGTTAAGTTACCTTGTTGATATAACATGTTCTGAAATCCAAAATAGTTTTACAAAAGACATCTCTCCAATTAGACCAAGTTAAGTCCCCCTTCAGAAACTGGGCCACAGTTCATGTTAAGACACTGGCAGGGTAATGTTACTCCAAGTGGCGAAGCCAGTTGGAAACCCTTCGGCTGGATTGAAATGATTACTTGAAACCTAAATCTACAAATATGAACACATTTCCTTTAAAACAAAAGGGTTACACAGTTGATTCTACTTTTCTGTTTTTTCCTTAATGCTGGATTCTGTTTTTTTTTTTTACTTAATGAAGTTTTTAAGCAATCAAAATGCATCATTTGATATGCACCAATGATTAGACCAGAGAACAGTATTAAGGAACTGACAATTGCATTATACCCATTTATTGACTTACATTTTAATAAGTGAGATAAGAGATAATTAATAAGAGATAATTTTCAGAATACTGTAAAATCAGAAGACTTGTGCAGCATAGGTAAACTTCACTCACTTGAGCCATATTGCCTCTTGTATCCTTCTGTACATGTAGCACTCCACATAGAGCCACGGAGACTTGAACCAGCTAACAGGCTCCTGGTCCCCCAGCTGGTTCTGCTGTCTCTGCATGTACTGGTTCCAGGACTCAGTGTCTGGCAAGTCATCCTTCAATTCCAGTAGTGGCTTATCGGTTTGCATCTCATTCCTCAGTTTTGACAGCAGAGAAATCGCCTGTTTCTCTGCACTGATCCCCTCCTTTTTAAAGGACAATTAAATTTAACTTCTAAAATGATGTCAATAGTTTTTTGTGT